GTGAAAGAGAGCAACTACCGCGGCCACGGCGACAGCGTGGATCAGCTCTGCTGGCACCCCAGCAACCCCGACCTCTTCGTCACGGCCTCCGGCGACAAAACCATCCGCATCTGGGACGTCCGCACCACCAAGTGCATCGCCACCGTCAACACCAAAGGTGGGCCCCCGGCAGGACCTTGCCGCCGTGGGCCGGTTTCCTGGGGGTGGTGGGGATCGGGGCACCTCTGCTGATTGCTTTTGTCTTTGCCTTGTGCTCATCTAGCTCTAGCAGGTATACGGAGCAGCACAGCACACGAGGGCTGACTTATGTTGGTGACAGGACTGGAGAAACCGCTGATATATGATGCTGGTTGTTAAAATGTCTTGTGTACTTGCTTCCGGAGTCTATGGGGTGCAAGGAAAGGCATGTTTTCAGAGACCCATGGTGAGACTAAAAGTTTAGCTGGATTCAGGAAGCAGTTAATCATATTCATGGACTGATTAACACAGATACCATCTCCGGCTGAGGAAAGCTCCAATTTCAAATTGATGGGTCTGGGAACAGCATTACAAGATGGTATAGCTGCAAATTGCCTTGTTCTTACCCTCATTTGTATGTGCTTGTGGTTGGCTGCTACTTCTTCTGGATTTGAAGGTCACTCGGTTAAGAGGCTCTTTGATTTGATCTTGCTTGGTCATCTCTGTGGTCACATCTTGGCTAAACTGGGAAGGGGAGTGGTGCAATGCTGTTGGTTTGAAGCTGTGGTTCTGTTAAGTTTAGTTTTCATTAACTCTATGTTATCTCTTAGCCGGCTACTGAGTGGGATGTGTATGTTGAACTGCAGATTTGTCCTAGATTTAGGAGCAGTTCCGAGTTAGTGGAGCAGACTACGGGCTTGAGTCAGGAAAAAAAAAAAGCTACCTGTCTGCTTAACTGATTGTGGTCCTATGGATTGGTGGGTGTAAATGGGACCTGTTGCCCTTTCTTCCCTCTAGGGGAGAACATAAACATCTGTTGGAGTCCTGATGGCCAGACCATTGCAGTAGGGAACAAGGATGACGTTGTCACCTTCATTGATGCCAAGACACATCGCTCCAAAGCTGAGGAGCAGTTCAAGTTTGAGGTGAATGAGATCTCCTGGAACAATGACAACAACATGTTCTTCCTCACTAATGGGAACGGCTGCATCAATATTCTCAGGTAGGTGCCTGTGGCAGCAGGCAGGGTGGGTAGGTGGACTGGTTGCCTTGATGCATCTCTGTCAGCCGAGGTAGACGTCGGTCTGCAAGTCCCTTTGCTGCTTGCAGGGGCCGAGGTCCTGTATCCCAGTGTTTCCCAGTCCTGAGGTGGGAACAAAGTTGCCTAGAGTTGAGGTTGCCCCAGTTCTGGGCTGGGCTTCTTGAGGAGTGACCCAGGTGCTTTGCCTCATTCATCCAGCACTCAAGGTTTCCAGTTTGGTTGGCTCACCATCCCAGTGCACCTTATGCCTCATCTTGTAAACAAGCCCTCTGCTCCTTTCAGTGCTTCCTGCGCGCTCCCTTCGTCTCCACAGCTTCCCAGAGCTGAAACCCATTCAGTCCATCAACGCCCATCCTTCAAACTGCATCTGCATCAAGTTTGATCCCATGGGGAAGTACTTTGCCACAGGCAGTGCCGATGCACTCGTGAGCCTCTGGGATGTGGATGAGTTGGTGTGTGTGAGGTGCTTCTCAAGGTAGGTAGTCCTGTCCTGAACCTTTTTCTCTTCTCTCTCTGGTGACCCTGTGGGAGATGGCTCACTCTCTGCTTGGACTTGCTGTTGCAGGCTTGACTGGCCTGTGCGAACGCTGAGCTTTAGCCATGATGGGAAGATGCTGGCGTCGGCATCAGAAGATCACTTCATTGACATTGCGGAAGTGGAGACAGGTAATGGTTCCCCGTCAAGGAAATAGCAAGGAGGGAATTGGACAGAGATGTGCTGGTGGAGCTGGGAGGGCCCTGGGAGATTCAGTCTGCTTGCAAAGAGCTTGGTTGTGCGCAGCAGATTGCCATGAGGGGGAGCCTCTGCCTAGTTGGTCTGTTTTTAGATATGGGTTGTGTCTGTGTCTTGTCTTCAGTTGATTAAAGCACTGAAGCAGCACTAATTCTTCCTCTGCCCCACACGGGAGGGAGGAGGGGGGTGCTTGGCTCTGGTGTGTGCTATGGGGCAGTGCGCAATGCAGGGCCAGAGGCTCTCCAGCCTGACTTGGCCCCTCTTCTGTGCAGGAGAGAAGCTTTGGGAGGTGCAGTGCGAGTCCCCCACCTTCACAGTGGCCTGGCACCCGAAGAGGCCTCTGCTGGCCTTCGCCTGTGACGACAAAGATGGCAAATATGACAGCAGCCGGGAGGCGGGCACTGTCAAGCTCTTCGGGCTCCCCAATGACTCCTAGTGGAACTGCAACAGGCAGCAGGGTAGACCACCAGGAGAGGCAACACTTCCCTGCTGTCGGGGATGGGAGAACGCTTGGTTAACCTAGGATGGGGGAAGGAGATCAGTCCCCTCCGTACCTGCTTGGCAGTATGGTGATCCTTGGCTCAGCTCTGTGCATCCTGCTCTTGGGAGCCTTTGTAAAAAGCAGCCTGTGTGCTGGTGAGGACGGTGGGGGATGCTCGCAGAGCCCCCCTGCTGGTCTCCAGGGAACGGAGGCCCATTGCAAAGGCAAGTGGCCAAAGAAGGTCTGTCACTGAATGCCCCTGCTGAGAGGCCTCCTCCGGGGAGGAGCTCAGCTGAGTGGAGGCTGCTGTGGCCAGACTCCCTGGCAGGGATAAGTTACGTGACCATGCCCTTCTCTCTTCCTCTGGGCCCCTGTGGCGCGGGCAACCCTGGGAGCACAGCCAGCTCTGTAGCTGCAGCCTGCCGCTTCCCCTCCAGATGTCCTATACGTTCCCCGCCCTGGAGCAGCAGAGGGGCAGTGTGGTGGGGCTGTGAGTTGGGGGATGGTGTCTAGGGGTTGCGGGGTGGGAGAATGACTTTTTTTTGTATGTGTGGTTGTTTTTCTAATTTTGATAAATCCCCTTCTGTAACGAAGGTGCCTGTGGCTGTTGCGTGGGTGCAGGTCTATGGACATGAGGTGGTCAGTGAGTGGGGCAGGAGGGGTGCTGCTGAACAGCTCTCCTGCGAGCTCCTGCCCCCTTCCCCACCTCCTGTGCTTAGCCGTAGAGAGGCTTTGCTCTGCAGAGAGGAGCTTTCAGCAGGGCTGTGGCTGAGGGGTCTGTGCTGAAGGGCTGCGTCCCCTGTCCCCACGGCCTGTCCTTTTCCCTGGTGGCTCTGTCTCCTGGCAGGTGCCAACACTCCACCAGGGGGCGCTGCGCCCCCCACGCTGGGGAAAGGGGACATGGGGACCAGGGATGGGGACACAACACTCGGCCCTGGCTCTGCCAGGCCTGGCAGTGTGCTGCGTGCCTGGGCTGGAGCAGGGCTGTGGTTCCACCAGCAGATGCCCACCTTGCTCATGCCACAGCCCTGGCCCTGTGCCACGGGTGCGGAGCCCTTCCCCATGCCCCTTCCCAGGGCAGGGCAGGCTGCTTTGTCCTGGAGAACGCGCTGCTTGCTCCCAGGAGTCTTCAATAGCCCGTGGCTCCTGTGGGCGCTGCAGGGCTTGAGCGTGGGCTGGGGCTGGTGCAGTACGCTGTGGCTCAGCTGTTGTGCGGCTTCAGGACAGGGCACAGGCTTGAGCAGAGATTTTGGCTGCAGCCAGGCACAGGCAGTGCTGCAGCCCTGGCACCATTCCCTGCTCTGCCCTCTCCCCGCTGCACTTGCCAGAGCAGTTAGGCTGGCCTGAGCCCTGCCTGGAGGCTCCCTATGTGGTGGTGGGCACAGCTCTGTCTTTTCCTCTCCCTGGAGGTGCTCTTTTGGGCCTGTCACTGCTGGCTGCTTGTCCTGAGCAAAACCCCAGTCCTTCCTTTAATGCTACCTGGGCGCTCCTGGCTGAGTCGCACAGTGCCCAGTTTCCTCCAGGGCCGCTGGGCTGGGCTGGGAGGGAGGGAGATGCTGCAGGTGGCAAAGGCTCGGGCAGAAGCCAGAGAGGTGACGGAGTGCGTGGGACCACCATGGGCTGGCAGGCTGTGAGGAGAGGGTGCGTTAGTGCCTCCCCCATCCCTTCTCCCCGTGGTGAGCGATAGGGCTTCCTTCCAGCCTCAGCAGGCTGGGCCCGGGGGAGAGGGGCACCACAGAGGAGGTGCTGGTGCAGCGTGGCTGCGATGGAGACCTTGCCTGCAAGATCTCTATCATTTCCTAGCCTAATATTTTCTTCTGACAGAGGTTTTTCCAGGTGACTGCTCTGCTGATGCCGCCTGGGTAACAGCTGAGCTCTTTGCTGTTAAACGATGGCAAATCAGTCAGAGGTGAGGCTGCTCAGAACAAATCTTCAGAGCTGAGGGGGCTGTGGATTCCCCCCCCCCGCCCCAAAACAAGTCCTTGTACCCCACAGGTGTCCCCAGTCATTCTGTGGGGGGACTCCCAGGGTCAGTGGGGAAGGGGCAAAAGCCCCCTTGCTATACCCATGGGTCTGCTGGGACTAGGGCACCCCACAACCAGCTGCCTTTGACCTTGCTCCCAACTGTGCCCTAGCCCCAGCGAGGGCTCCTGCGGGGCACGCACAGCCCTGCGGGAGGCAGCAGGGTTAAGAGCAGGGATCCAGGAGCCACGCCAGGCCTTCCTCCTTGCCTATGACCAGCCAAGGGGCCTGGCTTGGGTGCTGTTGGTGTGCCACACAGGATGAGCCCTGTGGCCTCTAGCACTGTGAGGAGTTGCCAGGTCTCAGCCCTGAGCTCCTGTGGGGTGAGGAAGATGGTGCAGCACCCTATGGAAGCAATGGCTGAGTAAAGGCCGGAGCAATGTACAAATCCCTTTATTTTATTAGTTTGTCAAAGACTAGTTCGAGCAGGATGGTCACGGCATGTCTGCAGGGCCCCGCGCCGCCCTCCGCCTCCTGGGAGGGGCCATGGCGAGCGGCTGGGGGGCTGTGGCGGAGGAAGCACGGGGGGGCGGGAGCACGGTGGGGCAAGGGACAGGTCGGGGCGATGGCGTGCCCCTGTTTTCCCCCCCGTTGGGGTGCAGGGACGTGCCCAGGGCACCCTGCCCGGGAGGTCCGTTCCCAGGCCCGGGAGAACCGTATATCCAGCGTTTGGGGGAGGCAGCCGGGGGCTCCCAG